CAGGTGCAGCTGTTTTAAAATAAATAAATATATTGCCCCTGATGCAACTCCAGAAAAATATATAAATAATACGAAAAAATCACTCATAATTTCAGTACTTCAAAGTATCACTGCTAATGTTCTGACATACATATATGTATATTCCATGCTTTTTTCTTAATAAATTAAGCAAAAGAAATGTCCTCTTACACTGAACTTATACCTTTAGCTTATGTGATTTTTAAATCAATGAAAGATGTTGAGCTTTCGGCTCAGATTTGCACACTCAGTACAAAATGGAGCCAAGATTTAAAAATAGGGTAGATTTCTCAGTTTATATGACTTAACAGTGTTACTGCCAGAAAATATATGTTCTCTAACTTGATGATTTTGACCCCCTCAGTACCTAAGCATTTGGAAAATGAGAAAAATAGAAGCTCAAGAACTCAGAAAACACTTGAGGTTGACAGCATGTCATGTTTCAAACTCCCTCTTTACTCTTAGAATTATTGTGTGACTGGTTAAGAACCATATTTCTTTTATAATCTTGTCTCTCCTCATGTTTCCAAAAGGCTTGTGAAGGGGTCATTCATGTATTCTCATTTCCATCCAGTGTTGAAATAGATACTCTTAACACAGAAATACTGAAGAATAATACTGTTGTGGCTTGATTGCCTTGCAGTGCACCAATTGAAAATTTGAAACTGCTGTCAACAGCCTAATTTTTTTTTTAAGCACATTCCCAAACTGTCTATGGTTAACTGTGCCACCTTCATGGTTGAACTTTTGCTTTTTCCTTTCTTTTCTGAGATGCTTGACATAGAAATAACCAATGTGTTTTGAGTGCTTACTGTGTATTGGACACTATTTTAAGTGCTTCATCTGTATTAACTTACTCTCCACAATGACTCTGAGAGATGGATTCTGTTTCCCTTAACAGATGAGTGTACTGAGTTATAGAGCAGCTATGGAACTTAACCAAGGTACTGAGATATAGAGGAGGTTATAGAATTTACCTATAATTACACGACAAGTTACTGATAGAAGAAGGATTCTAACCCAGGTAATCACCTCTGGAGCTTGTACTGTTTTTGTTTTGTTTTGTTTTATTTTGGTCTTTTCAGGCAAGGTCTCACTATGAAGCCTAGTCTGGCCTCAAACTCAGAGCAGTCTGAGTGCTGGTATTACAGGTGTACGCCACCGCACCTGGCTTTGGAGCTTGTACTTCTAACTGCTTGGCTGTACTGACCAGATGGCTTACAAGTAGGCCATTCTGTTCTTGTTGGGATGGAAATTATTATCGTACATTCACAGAGATCTCTCTCAAAGGACAAAGCTGCTTATCCTTCTCAGTCGGGGAGGCCATAGGAAGTAAAGGATAGACTAGAAGGAAATAGGAATTTACAGGAAGAGTTTCCTAGGACAGAACTTCCAAGTAATGAAGCTCATTTGGGTTTGAGAGCAGCTGAGAAGGAATCTTGGTGGTTATGAGGAAGGAGAGAAGGAAAGATATTTATTGCAGGATTTCTAAGCATCTTGATCTGCTTGTGTACCCTATCTCAACTCTGCTGTAGGAATTACATCTTCAGCCTCAAATCCAGTAGAACATATACTATTTATGTTCTACTTGTAAAATTAAAGTAATGTTAAATGGAATAGTTTTCCTCAACTTCAGCAAGAATACACACATATAGCTTAGCTTTGTGTTCTCATAATATTTGATATAGATATTATTGTTCTACCCTTAGCCACAGCTCTACACTGTTAGATAAATGCATACTTTTACATAGTGCCTTTCTTTGAAAGCTGGTCAACTTTTCCAGCTGTATGAGCTGGACCACATGATAATAACTGATGCCATATATTGAGCTGTCTGTTATATACAAGGCGCTTACCTCATTTAATCTTCCTAACAACCCTGCAAAATAATTATTAATTCTCTGTTGTATAGATAAGAAAAATGAGCCTTAGGAAGGATGACTGATTTCCAAGACCTTGTAACCTAATTGGTGAAACATAGTTCTGACAAAGCCCTTGTTTTTCTCATTGATTAATAATTCCCTAAGGAGGTTGTCTTCATCTCTCTTCCTGAAAATCTAAAGTAAAACAGCTCTCTTGATTTGAAAATACCTCTCAGGTACAATTTATAGCTGATCTTAGAGTTTTACCTCTTTTGTCTGAAGCCATGTTAATCTGCCAGTAGCAAGCAGCCTCTTACCAGAGAATGATGTGTTCTTTAAACCAAAGTTTAAAAAAAAATCTCTCCAGTGTATATTTAAAAAAAAAATGAAAACAACAAAAATGCAGCCTCTGAAACCTGAGGCTGTGGTCTTTAAAATTGCCCTTGGTGAGTATATTAATAGGTTTTTGGATCACAGTGGTATAGAAGGTGACCTTGGTGGTTGGAGATCTACTTTTTGTCAATGATGACTTTGACAGTTACTTGGGCTTGGGATTTCATTTACATTTGTGCTGCTGAAGTAAGTCCCTGAGCAGCGATTGTGGCATGAAGCCACAAATGTCCTGTTAAGGAAAAAATTAAGCCAGGTATGATGATGTGTACTTGCAATCCCGGCACTCTGGAAGGCTAATACAGTATAGGAGGATCATAAGTGCAAGGATCGTCTGGCCAACTTAGTGACTTAATGAGAACCTGTCTAAAAAAAATTTTTTTTAAAGTGCTGGGGATGTAGGTCAGTATGAAGGCCAGTACAAAAAAAAAAGGGAAAAAATTTTTCTGACACTTGTTAAAATAGTAAGAAAGACCTTATTCAGCACTATTGTGACATGTCAAGATTATTGCAGTAGGCAAGAGAGACAGGCTCAAATCCCAATATAACAAGAATAAGTAGGGATTTATAGCTAGCGCATGTAGAGCAGTTTTAATTTGAGTTAGTGTATTAAAAAAAAAAAAAAAACGACTAAAGGAAAAATAACCGGCTAAGAGGAAATATCAAGGGTAGGGAGATTGTTGCTGAAGGCAAGCCAAGAAATTATATATAAAAGATGAGGGCTGAGAAATTTGAACAGATATTGAGGGTGAGGGATAGTCTAAAAAGGATCCTTGCTTAGCAAGATCCTTGCTAAAACTAGGCCATGCAGACCTAGCAAGGATGGGAGCAGGGTGGAGGCTGACTTGAGAAGAAAGCTTAGAGGAGTCTGACTAAGCTTTGGTCAGTGACAGTGTTTGCCAATTCCTATTGCTGTATTAGATAGAAGCATGTAGGTATTGAAAGTGAATCCATTCTAAGAGTATACTCTTAAATGCAGTGCACAGTGAATTCCAGAAAATATGTTTTATTACTGGTGTAACATCTGAGGCAGGGTGAGCACAAAACATTGTAGCAGTTCTGAGAGCTGGGACCTTTAGTCTTCCTGATGGCTGTACTTTGATTAAACAATGCCAGACACTGTTCAAATCCTTTGCAAATATTAAACCATTCGATCCTGAAAACAGTCCTATGAGTTGGTTATGCCGTTGTTATTCTGTGTTTATGTAGAACAATGGTCCAGAGGAGTTAAATTATTTGCCTAGTGTTCTGTGTGAAGCAAGTGGTGGGGCTTGGATTTCAGCAACCCCAGGTAGGCTCCGGACTATCCATTCTTAATCACTGCCATGTTGCTGCCCAGTCTGTTGCTTCCCAGGGATTTATGACTTTTTCTTTGGGCGAGGGTTGCTTTTCTTTTTTCTACTCCCAAATAAAAAAGAATTCTTTATCTGGGTTTAGTTGGACTTCGGGCCTTGTTTGAACTGAAGTCAGAATTAGAGACTATGTGTAGCTCGAATCTCATATAAATCACAAAGCTGTTTGTAAATAACCTTTCAGGTCATATTTTACCTTCTAGATCTAAGTCAGTAGTTTATTAGTAAAAACACCCTTCCTATCTTCCCACAGTCCTTACGGAGTATCATTGGTAACCCTTTCTCATCAACAGTTGGATTTTCCTTTTCCCTACTAACAACCTCCATGGCATTACTTTTTAAAAATAATGCTCCATTTGTGATTAGTGCTTGGTAATTTCTTGATAAAAGGTTTGATAAATTGACTTCTAGATAATATATCCTGGCAACAACTTCTCTCTCTCTCTCTCTCTCTCTCTCTCTCTCTCTCTCTCTCTGTCTCCCTCCTTTCTTTCTGTTTTGAGTTGGGGTCACTTTAGGCTGGCCTTAAACTTGCTGTGTAGCCCAGGCTGGTTTCAGCCTTGCAATTCTGCCTTGGTACCCCTCAGCCTAATGCTGGGACTACAGGTGTATGCCATCACTTTCTACTCAAAACTCTTTTTTAAAGGAGCAAATCCCCTTTGAGCAGAACAGATCAAGTTACTAAAATATTTATTTAGTAGTCTCCTTAAATTTTGTTTTAATTTGCCTTACTGATATTTTAAGAGCTGCTGGTTAATATGACACAGTAATCAAAGTCATATATCACATGGAAACTTCACTATTCCATGGTATCCCTCTTTTTAATGTTTTTTCCTATTTTTTAATTGCAGATCTATCTATAGCAGTACAGAAATTTTCCCAGTCCCTACAAGACTTCCAATTTGAATGTATTGGTGATGCCGAAACGGATGATGAAATTAGTATTGGTAAGTACTCTGTACTTCACTATTCTAAGTTATAATCTTCAGTGTCTGACTTCAGATATGTATTTTATTGAAATCAGATTCCCATACCTTAAAAATAAACATCTAAATTATTCTCTGATTTTAATAAAATTGAGTGTGATTTTGGATTTATATGGAAAATAATATTATGAATTGTTTTTAATTTGAAACTATTGTTTTCTTCCACAAGGAAATTATTTAATCACAGTTTTAAACCCAGATCAGCCTTCTGAGAAAATACTGGTTACATTGTTTGTGCGCATCAAAGTAAATTGTTCATTCAAACAAACATGCATTGGGCATCTACTATTAAATATACTTGGTACAGGTATTAGGAATTATCTTACTTTTTTTTCTTAATACTGATTTCTTTTTTAACTTGAGCATTTCTTTATAAAGAAAACAAATCCTATTAGTCATGAAGTATAAAACTAGCATTCTGGAAGGATGCAGGGCGTTATTGGGGATCAGGAGGCTTGAGCCCTAATCTGACTTTGCCATCTAGCAGTCTGACCTGCAGAAGGCTCATCTCTTCCCCAACCACATGATTTCATTTACAGTAAAATGGAGAAGTTGAGTTATGTGAGTTTTATCTGTATCTGAGTTTTTATTATTTGAACATCAGATTCATGAGGCATTCTATCCCCCACCTTTAAAGATCCCTACTTACCATTTTATGGGTGTGAGATTCATTTGTAGGCTGGATGTGTCATATAATCAAAAGAAAACATGTGTAGGTATTTTAGAGAAAAACATTAAGTGTACCCACTTTCCAGATATAAAAATACAATATTAAAAGTACTGGCTTAGAATATTGATTCCCTACCTTTAATGTAAATGTCACATACCTCGAGGGCCAGAGATTTAACCCAGTGGTTTAGCCACCTACTACACAAGTTCAATCCCCGGTACCAAAAAAAACCCCCCAAAACCTCAAGATGTAACAATAATGCAGATTTTGATTCAGTAAGTCTCAGGTGAGAGTTACAGTTCTGCCTTTCTTTTTTAAAAATAGTTTTTAAATATTATTTTATTGGTACATTTTAGGTATACAATATGATGACATTCATCATTGGAAATTTGCACCTTTACATAATCTCTCTTGGTTCTTATTTTTCCCCTTTCCCCTCCCCTCCCTTCAACCTCTCCACTCCTCCCTATTTACAAAGACTTTGTTTCCATTTTTTTTCATGTTCTCATATTAATTCCATCAGTTCTGCCTTTCTAATAGACTTGAAGGTGGTAATAGTAGTGCTGGTCTATGGACCACACTTGAGTAGCAAGGATTTACCATCTTCTTCACACCTCTCCACAGTCATATTCCTCTCCTTCCTCTGCTATTATTTTCTATAGTTTTGCCAGTTAGGATTTTATTTTGTAAACTATGTTTTATTTGTTTTGAATGCCTTAGTAGCAAGTCCAAAACTTGTGAAAAGAAAGCTGAATGTGATGTAATCTCAGCACTGGGGGGTTGAGGCAGGAGGATAACAGTGAGTTCCCGGATAGCCTGGGCTACATAACGAGTTCAAGGTTGTCCTGAACCCTGTCTCAAAAAACAAAACAAAATAAATACATATAAGAAAAGAAAAGAATGGGCAGTATTTTCCCTGGGAAAGGAAAACTCTTAAGAGATGACAAGCCCCTTGGGTTTCTCATTTACTCTTGAGGCATTAGCTTGTTTCAATTCACAAGAGCTGCTCTGGAGAAAGTACTGAGCAGAGTGCACAGTCCTGGGACAAGCTATTTCTGCACATGGAATTTACAGCAGTCTTGCATAATTATGGACATGTTGGCAGGAGGTAGGCCAATGGTCATGTTATCTGCCAGCTGTACTAGGAGCATGAGTTACTCTGTGGGGAATGTAGCAGAGGCCAGCCTCTCACATGAGTGGCTCCTTCTGCCTCAGTTTGGGATGAAAAGTAGCCCAGTACCAGTTAGGGGTCTCTAGGAAGTGGGCAGAGCCCTGCCACATGGACCTCAAGCAGCATGACTCCTTCTTCTTTCCCCTTTATAGGATGAATGGGGAAGACAAGCATTAGTGGTCGTGCACCATCAACATCTGGAATTTTGTTGTCTTTTTTTTTTCTTTGTGGTGCCGGGAATCTAACCCAGGGCCTCATGTATGCTGCTTATACATTCAGCCACTGAGCTCTACCCCAGCCATGCTTTTTACTTCTTGACATTCGTGTTATATCTGTCACCTGACATAACCAGATAAAAGCCTAGATTATATACTAAGATAGTAATATGCTATATTATTTGGAAAAAGAATATTCAAATATATTATTTTTACTTAGTTCCATTTTCACTAAATTCCATGAAGACAGAGGTCAGAACTACTTTTAATTTTTCATCAGTTTAGCCTTTACACTTGACTTAGGGCCTAACTCATGATAAACCCTCAATTAATTTGTTGAATGAAAAGCAGTATTTCTTTATAAACTTTAATTTTTTACACATGCATCTTTTTCTAATAGAATGATTTTTAAAAAAATAAATTTCATTTTATTCTAATAGACTAATTCTAATAGAGTGATAGAATTTAGTATTTTTCCTTTGAAAAGGAGATTATAGTAAATACTTCTGGGTTTCACAGATATTATCTTTAATGGTTTCATGACTATTCTATCAGGTTCATACATATGAATTTATAAAATTATCTCTAGAGTACATTAAGGTTGTTTCTGGTTTATTTCTTACCTCATATTAAGAGTAATATAACTATCTTTATGCATGTTCCTTTATTAAGCTTTTTACTGAAAAATCTCTCTTGAAGTCAAAGATGCATGTAGGAACTGCAGACATAGGGTTTTTAATCACTCTGCTATGCAGCCTTCTGAACAGATGTTATGTAATTTCCCCAGATTATGGTGGATTTAATATCTAAAAGGTGATCTGTATTATTTCTTGTGCAGTCTGCGTTTTGTTTATGAAATCTTTGCTTACTCTTGTGTCCTCAAGAGTTCTACCTATTCTCTCTTCCAGCAGAATTAGTGTTTCTGTTTTAATATTTAGGTCTTTGATCCATTTTGACTTTAGTTTAGTGTTTTACACTGCAAAAGAAATCACCAACAGAGTGAAGAGACAACCTACAGAGTGAGGAAAAAGCTTTAACCAAACATCTCTTAGACAAAGGACTAATATCTAGTACATACTAAGAATTGAAAAAAATCAAGACACCCCCCCACCGCTAAATTTAAAGACCCAATCCAGAAATGCCCATCTGAAATGAATAAACACTTCGCAAATGAAGGAGTACAAATGGCAAATAAATAAGTGAAAAAATTTTCAACATCACTACTAATCCAAGAGATGCAAATTAAAACAACACTGAGATTCCATCTCATCCCAGAAAGAATGGCTAATAAGAAATCAACCAACAAGTGCTAGAAAGGATGTGGGGAAAAGGAACACTGCTCCACTGTTGGTGGGAGGGCAGACTGGTGTAGTCACTGTGGAAATCAGTGTGGAGATTCCTCAGAAAACTAGGATTAGAGGTCCCATTTGACCCAAGCTATTCCCCTTCTAGGTATCTTCCTGAAAGAATTAAAAGTATCACACTACAGCGATATATGCTCACTCATGTTTATAGCAACACAGTTTGTAATAGCTAAAGCTTGGAAACAACCCAAATGCCCACCAACCGATGAATGAATAAAAAAGATGTGGGTTTTTTTTTTTAATATAATGGCATACTATTCACCATAAAGAAAAATAAATGAGACATTTCTAGGTAAATGGATGCACCTTGAGACTATACTCTTAAGTAAAATAAATCAGACATACATGTGTAAATACTGCATTGTCTCTCTGGTGTGATAAACTGAAAGGGTGAATAAGGACCAAAATGTAGGATAATGTGAAATAGGAAGAAATTGTTCAAAAGGAAAGGGGAAGGGGGAGGGGGCAAGATGGAAGGGAAAAGAAAAAAATGAGAAAAGAAGGGAAAAAAATGGAAACAAAGCTTTTATAAATAAGGAGGGAGGCAGTTGAAGGGAGGGGAGTATATTGGCAGAAAAAAGAATCATGTATAGGCACAAATTCCCTGTGATGAATGTGATCACTATGTATATTTAAATTGCACCAATAAAATTAATTAAAAAATAAAAGGTGATCTGTTTGACTCTTTCCACATAGGCTAAATGAATATTGTTGTGTGACTCTTACAGATTAGATTTGAAAGGTGTGAATTGCTCAGTGGTGAAGACTTATTATAGCCAAGGAATATCAAATTGTAATGGTTAAAAGCATTGAGAAGTTAGATGATAGCGATTGGAGATGGGATAATAAATAATATAGAACAATATTAATTTAACTTCTTAATTTTTTAAAAATTTATTTATTTATTTTTTGGTACCGGGGATCGAACTCGGGTCCTTGCGCTTGCGCAGCAGGCGGTGAAACCACTGAGCTAAATCCCCGGCCTATACTTCTTAATTTTAGATCAGGAGACTTAAGTATGATGTACTGTGAATCTGACTTAAGTATCAATACTTTGTAAAACCTTAGAACAAATGATTTATTTTATTTGTAGTCCTGGGGATTCCGTGTAGGACCTTGTGTGTGCTAGGCAAGTTCTCTACCACTGAGCAACAACCCAATTCCTGAGCAAAATGATTTATAAGCAAAAATATTTCTGGAACAACTGTAAAAACACAGGTACATCCCCATGTCCTAATTATACAGCATATTTATCCTTTAACTCATCCTGCAAATATATGGTAAAAGCTTAAAATTATGTAAGCAATTAAGAAATAGAATGAACATTGAATAATTATTCCAAACATAGAGAATTATGTTTGAGGCTATCCCAACCTACTATTCCAAGGACAGTGAACTGAGAGAAATGTAACCCTGAGACTCATGTGAGGATGGTATGGACAGGGAGTATAGGATCACTCTTACCTACCTCGGGCATCTTTAGTTCTGCATAGAAAAGTACAAAGTTTCAGTTATCTTTGCCTTAGCTTTTTGAAGTCCCA